TTAAGGTGTGCTATATTTATGGGATAAAGTGCTCAATATCAGAGATAGAGCGTGTGTAAATATAAAGGGAAACATAGAAGTCAACACTTAGAGGAGACAGTCTGTTTCATGCTATATGCAATCGTCAGGCCACATATGCTGTTATTTTTCTCGGCTATTTATATATATGCGGGTTAGTGGTGCATTGTGGGTATTCTATTATGGCGGTTATTTTTTACCGGAAGTCGCTTTGTCTATTTATTTGGGTCAAATTATATTGCTCGTTTTTATTTTTATTTTTTATTTATTTATTTTTTTTTAATTTTTTTTTTCTTATTTTATTTATTTATTTATTAACGTAGTAAAAATTTGTTTATATCACGTATTTAACAGTTTTGTTTTTTGTTTGAGAATTTAATTAAAGCTATTTGTTCAATTTTTTGGGGTTGGTTGTTTGTAGTTCATTCTAACTATTATTTTTTTTGGCGGGAACAGTTTTTAATTTGGGATTGGTTGGATGAATTTAGGTCAATTTATTTGTATATTTTCTCTTTTCGGTTTTTCGGTTTTAAGCAACCAATCAAAACTTGCAAACTTTTGCTTGGAGGAAAAATAATCATTACTTTCTAAAAAAATAAATTATTAAATAAAATCCGAGCTCATCTCAAAAATGCAGGCATGAAAATAAATTTTTACTACGTAACCCCTAAAAAAAAAAAAAAAAAAAAAAATAAAACAAACAAATAAAATAAAAATAAAATAAAATAAATAAATACTATGTTGCTTAAAACCAAAAACCGAAAAAATGAAAAATAAATTGACCTAAATTCATCCAACTAATCCCAAATTAAAAACTGTTCCGCCAAAAAAATAATAGTTAGAATGAACTACAACAACCAACCCCAAAAATTGAACAAATAAATTAAATTCTCAAACCAAAACAAAACTGTTAAATACGTGATATAAAACAAATTTTACTACGTTAATAAATAAATAAATAAAATAAGAAAAAAAAATTAAAAAAAAATAAATAAATAAAAAAAAAAAATAAAAACGAGCAATATAATTTGACCCAAATAAATAGACAAAGCGACTTCCGGTAAAAAAATAACCGCCATAATAGAATACCCACAATGCAATTCCTAACCCGCATATATATAAATAGCCGAGAAAATAACAGCATATGTGGCCTGATGATTGCATATAGCATGAAACAGACTGTCGCCTCTAAGTGTTGACTTCTATGTTCACTTTTATATATATATATATATATATATACATATATATATATATATATATATATATAATTAATGTGAAGAAAAGTGTCACTTAACTGATTGCTGTCATTTTAGTCATACCGATTTCAAAGTTTCCTGTGTTTCTTGCAGTAATTCATTCACTCTGAAGAGCTATTCGCTTATCAGCTGCTATTCCTTAACCTTCTTGTGTTTATGTCTAGTCTGGTGTAATTGATATATTTGTGCAAGTGTTAGATTTTTTTATTAGTGGATGTTGTGCTATCTGTTTTTTATCTCGTTTTTTTTTGTTGCTTAAGTGGTGTAGAGTGTAGAGGAAAATTAACAATAATTGCCTTTAAAAAACAAAGCAGACCATTAAACAAGAAAAACGAATGTAGACATTCAAATAAGTACTTACTTTATTACTTACATGCCAATACAAACAGAAACAAATAAACCGGCACTAAACTCAACACAAACCTACAATATACAGTTCTGTTCGATAAAAGTGAATCATCTGATTTTTTTAAATAAAAATATTTTTTGTCTATTGTTTTTGGATTTAAAATAATTTTTAATCTTACTAATATAAAGACCCCTTCCCGACCATCTAGGAAAAAAAGCTTATTCACCCTAAGGTATTCTACTGATAATTATAAATTTGGATATAAATTAGATTCAGGAAAAAAACTTTGTGCAAAAAAAAAAAAGTGACTTAGATATCGCATTCTAATGATTAAACTGGTAAATTTAATGAACTTTTGACAAAATATTGAAAACTATTTTCAATACACTCAGAATGATATTCTAAAGAATTCTAGAACAGATTAAATTAAATCCAGAAAGCCTCATACAGTATAAAAACAGCTTGAAATAGCCACTCAGAAGCCCTTAAGGCATCTATTATTGCCCTCTCATAAGCAGAAATTGCTATAACCTCGCAATCAATTGTCTCTCGGGTGCTTAGGGCACATAATGATGCCACTCCTGCTCCAAGGAAGGAAACAAGTAGACGAAAGAAAAAAGATTGATGATAGAACTGACAGGGTAATCAAGAGAGAAGTTTCGAAGAATAGGACTATAACTAGCCAAGAAATTGCAGTCAGTCTAAGCGAAGAGAACTCTTTCCTCTTCAACAGTCCGTCGGTGGCTGTTAGAACAAGGCTACAACTCATGTACACGAAGGTTTAAGTCGTTAATAATGGGCTCACTATAACAAAAATTTCATCGCAGAAAATTGGAAGAATATTCTCTTCGATGAAGCGAAAGTTGAGCTAAATTCAAAGGATAAGCAATCTAAAATCCAAAGAAGCTTTGAAAACTCTTTGAATTTAGTAGTAAGTACTGTCAAGGATCCGTTCAGTATAATGTTCTGCGGATGCTTTTCTTTTCATGGAACTGATTTCTTAAAACCTATTGAAAAAACCCTCAGGAGCGAGCAGTACAAGAGAAATTTAGAGTCTTGTCTGCTCCCTTCTGCTGAAAGGGTGCAAATCGACCCCACCAAGCTTATTTTTATGCAGGATAATGCTCCCTGTCACAAATCAAAATTGATGAAGGAATACTTTGATGAGAAGCAGGTGAGTGTTATGACATGGCCGCCACAAACTTCTGACCTCAACCCCATAGAAAACATATGAAGAATTATAAAGTACAGGCTCTCGAGAAAGCAGTTGAGCAACAAAGAGGATTTGATTGTGAATTTCATATCTGAATGGAATTCAATGTTTGGAGATGAGATTTGCCAGAACCTAATCAAGTCAATTCCAAAAAAGTTTGAAAAGTTATTCAAAATAAAGGAAGACCCATAGATTATTAAATATTTCGAACTATATTACCTATTATAAATAAATTATACCTCTATTATTCTTTATTTAAAGCTGTTCGGTTATGTTTCTATTGATTACTAGTTGCAGGAAATAAGTGAGTCACATTTTGCACAGAGTTTTTCCCTAAATCTCATTTATATCCAAAATTATAATTATCAATAGAATACCTTAGGGTGAGTAAGCTTTTTTCTTAGGTGGTCGGGAAGGGATCTTTATATTATTAAGATTAAAAATTAGTTTGACCCCAAAAACAATAGGCGAAAAAATGTTTAAGTAAAAAATCAGGTGAGTCACTTTTATCGAACAGCACTTTATACTTAATCACGCCTAAACAAAAACAGATTACAACGGAAGAAATAAGAAAACAAAATACGCAAAAAACGCACATGCACCAAGCTCAAAAAGCAATATACATACACACAAATATCTGCAAATATCAACATATAGAATGCACACACACACACACACACACACACACACACACACACACACACACACACACACACCTAACCACGACTAAACAAAGAAAGTGAACACATACATTGACACGGTAAATAGTGGTCAGCTCATTACAGCAAAAAGAGCCCAATCCTGCATAAGACAATGAAGCGAGTAACATCAAAAAGGGGTCAGCATAATACAAAACAAACAATCACCAAGAAACTCTACCCCACTTAAGAAAACAGCCAAATATCTAAATATAATAACAGATGATACAACACCCATTAAGTAAAAAAAATCACACTCACTGAAAAATATCAAATGAAACCAAACTATACATAACTAAATAATAAATATAAGGAAAGTCAATTCTCTATGTCGCGTCAGAAAGTTTTTCTAGCCCGATTCCATCCTTCAAATTTATAAATCAACCATTCGCCCTTGCATGGAATATTGCTGTCACATATGGTCTGGCGTTCCTACTGTTTGTCTTAGGGTCCTTGATAAAATCCAGAGACGGATATGCAATGTGGTTGGCCCTGATCTGGCATCTCGTTTACAGTCGCTCTATCACAGACGTGCCGTCGCCTCCCTCTGTCTTTCTACAAATACTTTCACGGTAACTACTTCGACCAGCTACTTTCGCTAGTTCCCAAACTGCATGAATTTAAGCGTGCTACTAGGTTGGCATCACGGTCCCATCCTTTCACTGTTGAAACGGTTAAATGTGACTGTCTCTTCTACTTCAATAGCTTAATATTCCGCACTTCCCTTCTGTGGAACTCCCTTCCTCTTACTTGCTTCCCTGATAGCTATAATCTCCAACTATGCAAATGCAATGTCAATCGACATCTCCAGATGCCTTGATCTATTCCGCATCCTTCTCTTCATCCTTTCACGCCTCTTTACTCTTGCTCCCACTTTCTGTAACCGCTTGCGTGCTATTGGCATCCCGCCTTGCTTGGGATGAAAAGCTTGAGAATTAGCAGCTGAGAAGCCAGTAGCTCTGAAGTGTGAAGGCATTACTACAATGCGTTCACGAAACATCGAAGTCGGCATGACTGAAATAACACCAGTCAGTTAAGTGACACATTTCTTTACATTGATACTATTAACGCTCGATTCTTACATTTTGATATCGAACACTTTAAGAAAAAAAACCTGCCTGCCTAAAATACCTTTCCACCAGTAAACTACTGAAAAAGAACCAGCAATTTTGGCACCTAAAAGCTTATAGTTTAATACTATGTGTGTGTGTGTGTGTGATTCTGTGTGTGAGATAGATATGAACCGAACAATATAGATAGATATGAACAGATAGATAGATAGTTAGATAGATAGATAGATAGATAAAAAAAAAGAAACTGATGCGAATCAATAAATAGTGTCACTGCGGGGAATCGCATGAGATTGTCAAAGAAACCGATTCCTCAGTTTTGAAATTTCGTGATTTACTTGGATAACTTCTTTATGGTGTCGACCTTCCCCGACCCATCCAAGCTGGACAGTTAATATGTGTTTAATTTCTACGTTGGTGTTATTTTTTCTCGCCCTGAGTGATCGGCGTTATTGTGTCAATGTCTGATCACTTTGGATTACGTAGAGACTTTTGCTTTCCTCACAGCTTCAATGCTTTTTCTTTGCCTTCTCACTAATTGCTTGCACACCCTTGCAATTTCATTTCAATATTCACTCACAACACTCAATCAAAAGCCGCTTCTGTTTATATAATATTAATGATTTCTTTCTTTCTTTCTTTCTTTTTTTCTTTCTTTCTTTTTTTCGATTAGACATGTTTATTTTCCTCTTCTTTCTCTTCATGTTGCCTTGATTTACTTAACCTCCTTTTCTTTCTTTCTTTCTTTCTTTCTTTTAGACAGGTTTCTCTTCCTGTTCTTTCTTTATCTTTGTTATGTTGCCTCCAGTTACTCAACCTCCTTTTCTATTTTACATATATTTCTTACTTACTCACTTTCTTTCTTTCTTTCTTTCTTTCGTTTAAACATGTTTCTTTTCTTTTTCTTTCTTCCTTTTTGATTTGCCTTGAGTTACTCAACCTCCTTTTTTCTTTCTTTCTTTCTTTCTTTCTTTCTTTCTTTCTTTCTTTCTTTCTTTCTTTCAACACCAGTTCTTGTACAATCATGGCAGTTAAACAACATCTGAGCTTGGTCCGTACCTAGATGAATGGTCGCTTGAGAATTCCAAGAGCTCTAAACTTGGATGTGCGGCTTGTGTAGTGGAATTGGAAATCTTAGAGTTGAGTTCCAATTCCACTTGGGTTCACTAGGTTTACTTACACGAAAATAACCTGGGAAAACTTATAAAGGCTCCTATTATCCTCCCAGCTATCGTTTAATTGCTGGAACTTGTTTCACTAAATTATTATTATTATTATATCAAACAATTCTTAAAATCTAAAGATATTTTTCTGGTTATAAATACCAAAAGTTGATAAGCCGTAAAAACGACACATTCACTCAATCGTTATTCAAGATTCTATTTGTTATTTCCTTTACTTCTTTCTTGCTTTCTTATCAGGATTTTCGTTTTTATTCTTCATTCCTTCCTTTCTTTTATTTCCTTCCTTTCTTTATTTCTTCTTCTTATTATTTATTTTTTATTTCTTCTTTTATTTCATAATTTTGCTATCACAGATTTTTCCTTATTTCTTTCCCCTATTTAGTTTTGTATTCTTTCTTTTCCTTCCTTCATATTCTCACATTGATAATAACTTACCAATTTCTTTCTTTATTTTTTCTTTCGTCTTTTTCTTATTATTTCTTCCCTTACATTATTACACATTTTTCCTTTCAGAGACTTTTTTTTATTCATTTACTCTTTTCATTTCGTTGTATTTTGACTTTCACAGATCTTTCTTTCTTTCTTTCTTTCTTTCTTTCTTTCTTTCTTTCCGTTCTTTCTTTCCGTTCTTTCTTTCCGTTCTTTTTGCTACACTTTCTATCTTTCTACCGTTTCAGCCTTTCCTTCTTCATCACTTTGTTCTTTCTTTCTTTCTTTCTTTCTTTCTTTCTTTCTTTCTTTCTTTCTGCATCTCTTTCTTTGTTTTTGTCTTTCTTTTTGCCTTTCTTTCTTTGCTTTATTTCCTTTTCTTCTTTTTTTCTTTTTTAATATCCCACCATGTTTCTTTTTCATGAAATTGTGATTTTCTTTTGGCGTCAATCTCTTGTTATTCTTTATCTTCTAATTTTATGTTTTGGAATTATATATATATACATATATACATATATGTGTGTGTGTCTGTGTATGAGTGTGAGTGTGTTTCAGTGTGTGTATGGTCATGTTTATCAATGTATTTGTGTGTGTGTGACTCTGTTTCTGTGTGTGTATAGGTTTGGATATATAGAAAGAAATAAAGAGTACATTTATGAAGTATGAAATATATTCATATATAATGTTCATGAACATCTTAGTGACGGACTAGAGTCACTAAGATTTTTCTATTCTTTGCACAGCTCCAAAATGAATGCTTCAAATGAATTTGTAATAAAAACCAATTAGAAATTAATTCATACGTTGTTTTTAATCATTTCAAACCAAACAAGGCAACAAAGCCACTAAGACTCAAAGGTGTAACGATTGACCATGACATTATAATTTTTGAAGATCAGAGTACACTAGAAAGCAAGACGCTGGAACAGAGTTCCAGAACCGGGAAGTGCGAGAGAAGAAACTGTTGGTATAGAACTTGCGGTTACATCTAACCGTTTCAACCTATTATTGTGCTTAAATATTTAAAGTCATAGTACCAAAGAGAAAAACTTATCAGAATGATTAACGTGAACATATTTATAGAAAATATATATAGAAAAAGCAGAAGGAACCTACGTTAGACAAAGTGACTGAAGCATAGATACCACGTCAAAACCAAAATAATTGCTGATTCTTCTTTGCATTTTATCAAGAATCTCTGAATAGGTAGCAGAAGAACTAGACCAGATGTGATCACAATATTCAAAGCATGAACGAATGGTAGACATATAAATGTGTAAGGCGGATTCTGGTGTGAAAAATTGCCTAACTCGACACAGTGGTCCAACTTTCTTAGCAACGGAAATAGCAATTGATTCAATCTACACTTTACACTTCATGTCAGCGGACAACGAATCGTATCATACTCCTGTAAGTCAGCAACAGAAACCAAAGGAAATAAAACGACAACAAGAACAACAACAGCAATTATTATTATTATTATTATTATTATTATTATTATTATTATTATTATTATTATCATTGTGCGTATGAGGGTGTATATATTGTTTTGGGAAGTGTCTATTAAAATATTTCAAGAAGAAAAATGACTTAAATTCTCAAAACATACGTTAGCTTTCAGACTGGAAAAATAGAATATATATACTTCCTGCCAAGGAAACATTTTTCTACCCAAATTCCTTTTCCAATATTAAGAGAAAGAAAAAGTGGGCTTTATTTTAAATAATCACTAACAATCTGTTAAGTATATTGAAATACGATATGCAAATATTTCAGACACCACTAGGCGAATGAACTTTGGTGACCTGACTGATGCAAAGTATACTTGCAGTTAATCCAAAGTTTTTTGTCAGAGAGAGAGAGAGAGAGAGAGAGAGAGAGAGAGAGAGAGAGAACAAAACAAAAACAAAACAAAAAACTACAACACTGACCCATTTGTGTTACTATGGAGAATGAAAGGGTGAATATGTCGCCAAAAATAACAAAACTATTGATGTGCGACGACCAAATTCAATAATCCCAGAGTCTACGCCATTAATGACGCGGAATAATTTCTTCCATTGAGCTTTTCAAACTTTCAGGAAGAACGCCAAGAAAAACAAATAAAACCGCAAAATGCAGCAGACCATTGCTAAAAACGCCAGCAGACAATTAGACCAAATTATTATTATTATTATTATTATTATTATTATTATTAGTAGTAGTAGTAATATTTCATTTCCTCTGATTTCTGTTGTGTACATATTTCCTGCTATGTCCCAACCAGAGACCTAAGTTCAGAAATGGCGTCATGACTAAAGCCCTTCCTAAATTGTAGGTTGTACTCCCAAGAACAATTTTTTGAATTTCGGTTTAGTTCTAAACTTGATTATGTGACATGATAGAAACTGTTTCTGAGCCTTTGGTCCTGAGCTGCAATAATTCGGCCTTCGCTCTAAGTTATTATTATTATTTTATTTCTTTAGTTTCTGGTGTATACTCATTTTTTTCCGGGTCCCGATGAGAGACCTAAGGTAAGAAATGAAATAGTTTACACAGACAAAGCCCTTCGTAATCTGTGGGCTGTATTCGCGAGAACAACTTTTGGTATTTCTTTAAGGCATGTGCTACCAGGAATCAATTCAATGAGTCTTTTGGAATCTTATTCAATCAATCCGAGGGCTCCAACTACAACTATTTTGTGGATATTCCCATGTGCCACATTTTTGAGATTTCGATTTCAAGGTTCTTGCATTTTGTTAGCTTTTTTCAAATCTTTAAAGTGAATTGCAGTCTGCAGGGACTGCCATATCAATAAGGAGACAATTTTTTGTCTGCGTATCTAATGACGCTGCCTGGGAGATTAACTTTGATTGTTCTCTCTGTGTGAATTGTGTAGTCCCATAAAATTGTTACAGGTCCTATCTCTGTAACCGGATCTGGGTGGTGTTCATACCAATTTTTTCAATTTCCTTCCCGTAGAAGTTGTAGACTTTCCCTTTCAGATATTGGCCCATTCTGTCATGCCGTGTTTTAAATTCAGTGGGTGCCAATACCGTGCAATCTGATACAAGTTGCTCAATTGTTTCTCAACATTTATTTATTTATTATTATATTGTTATTATTATTATTATTATTATTATTCCTTTGATTTCTGTTGTATACGCATATTCAATTTATTCCGAGTAATTTCGAGATTGTTCTAATGTCGAAAATTCTCGGAATACAGTGGGCTATGATAAGGTTTTAGCCATTCTTAATTACAGAAATTTTGGCTTGTTTAATAACGTCTCTTCATTTTTTGAGACAATACCGTGTTAGTATCAAGCTACTTTCATCTATGAACAATAGTTGACTTATATCTTGCAATGAAAGTTCGTGGAAGTAAGGAAATTAGTGAATTTCGACAAGAGCAAAGAAGAGGATGGCATCAGTGTGGCAAGTCAAATAGAGAAATTTCCAATTTTTTCCAGGTTAATCATGAAACGGTTAATAATATTGTCAATAAATTTAATGAAGAAGACCATTGTCGTGTGGAACAACGTTCAGGAAGACCAAGCATCGTGTCTGCGCGAACAAAAAGGACACTGAATAGGGAAGTCATCAGAAACCGTCGTCAGAACGTCAAAGATGTCACCAACAGCATGGAAATGTCGCCATGTGCGGTGAGAAAGACTCTGAAAGAGCTATCAAAGAAGAGTTGCAAGAAAGAAGACCTTGATTTCAGAGAATCACAGAAACCTTCGTATGGACTGGTCGAGAAAATTCGAGATTATGAATTTTTGCACTCTGTAATTTCGTCAGATGAAAGTAAATTCTGCCAATAATTTAATTCGAGATGTTTATGTTTGGAGAAATCAGAATTAGACTTGGAACACTGAATGTCTGCAGACGACCGTGAAACATGGAGGGATTAGAGTAATAGAGTGGGGCGCTGTCTGGTTTGGAGGGAAATCTGATTCTTCTGAAGAACGGTTGAACGGTCCAAAATACTGTCAAATATTAGAGAAAGGAATACTCCCACTATTTGAAAAAAATTTGATTGACAAGAATGTCTATCTTTTTCAAGAATATGAAGTGCCATGTCATACGAGCAAAGTAGCAAAGGCCTGGAATGAATCGCAAGGAATCAAGTCACTGCCAAGTGGTACCCCAAAATCCTGACATGAATCCAATAGTGAACGTTTGGGAGCGCCTGACCGAAGACATCGAGAGCGTGCAATCACATCAGTGGCAACCCTTAAAGAAACATTACTCAAGGAGTGGCAAAATATGGCTCAGTCGATTTTTGATAACTTGATCAAATCCATGAAAAATCGAATACAAGCACTTGGAAGGACCTACTCCATACTAGTTCCAAATACTGTTTGCTTATGTTGAAAAGGGATTACGTAATTAAATTTTGAAATCTAGTTTATTTCTTCTGGCTAAAAACTTTTCTTAGGCCACTGTACAACGATTATGCATCAACATGATAATTTTCTTTCTTCCTTTAATAAGGATATTAAGAAACTTGTCCGTAATTTTGAGAAGATCCTATTAAAAATAAGTAGACCAAACTTGTCTAAAATATATAATGAGATAAGTCTTAATGGAAATATTGACATATATATATATATATATATATATATATATATATATATATATACACGTACACACACACACACACACACACACACACACACACTCTCCCGTCGTGTTTGAGGGTCAAGCAGCTCAGTTCTTAGAACGAACAGCCAGACTCCCCGTACATATATGATTGAAGAATTGTACAGAGCCACCAACACTTTTGGAAGAGCCGAATACAGAGAACTTGTGCACAGTATGCCACAAGGTCCCCAAAACGATTCTCCACAGATTTTGAATTCAGATTTGTCCTTCTCCTAGACCGTTTTCCACTTAGTCTATCCTGTTAGGTACCCATAGCTGGGTGGAGAAGAGATGGGTTTATACATTTACCAAGGATGTGAGAAAGAAAGAAAGAAAGAAATATCTATGTGAATCACAATACAAGGATATATATATATATGTGTGTGTGTGTGTGTGTGTGTGTGTGTGTGTGTGTGTGTCTGTGTGTTGTAACTTAGAAATTGGAAATGAAACGGTAATCTTTATAACACCAACAAAATACAATACTCGCCAGCGGCGTGAAGTAGGTAAACCACTGCTAATGGTGGACTACTTAGACAGCATATTACCCTTCAATTTACAATTGTGCCTATCGTATTTATGAGGACTGGGACATACACATTAGTGTTCGTATGTACGGTATATAACAATATACCGTATATAAGTATATAAGAATTTTCGGTTAAATTTAATCTAGTTCCCGAAAATCAGTATATTGTTCTCGGGGTTCTTTTATTTCCTCGTCCATGTTATCAAAAGGAGAAATATTTTTAGCAAACACACAGCAGTTGGGAGAGTCTTGACTTCAATATTTATCTTTCAAATTTCCAGAGAAGATTCGAATTTCAAAAATGTTTGCGTTTATTTGAATTTTATTTACACCAGTTAAGGTTATGTTTTCCATATATCCAAATTTCGGGTCAAAAAATGCCTTTTACAATTTGAATACTTGAGCAACCGGCCGACCTTGAAACACAAGTCTAAGTTTGTCTACAAACAGACTAAAGTAAGCTTTGAAAATTAAACAATAACATCTGCATTCCATTATTATTCTCAGAGATTCATTGAGAAAAGAAGTGAGTGGCTTTCTGGTAATTTCTTTCTATCGATTTAGTTATTTATTTTGCTTATATATATATATATATATATATATATATATATATATATATATATATGATTTTTATTAATTGCCGACTCAGAAAATATATTCAAAGAATTCTGAGATAATGTCATAAAGAAAAAACGAGAAGAAAAGACGAACTATTTACTGTAAGAAAACAGAATGCATGGTTCTCAGTAAAAGAGACACTCCAAATATGAACTACATATTAGGGACGTAAAATCAAGCATAGACAATAATTTAACTATCTGCGTAGTGTAGTAACACATGACGCATAATGTGACACTGAGATCCAAAGATGCATATGGATAGATAAAGATGCTATCCATAAAGTAAGGAAGGTTTTAAGAGAATCAGAAAATTTTGTTAGAATAAAAAAAAAGAATGCTATAATTCTATGTAATATAAAATCTCCTCGAGAGCAGTGAATGTTGAAGAGATTCCTCACTGAGGAAGAATAGAGATGGAGCGAAATGGACAAAACATCTGAGTAACGTAGATGGAAAATCTAACAGTCACAAGACAATCTGAAGGTAAGAGAAACAAAGAAAGAATAACGAGTCACCATCTTCACGAGTTGGAGTTTGATGTCGAATATAAGATGGTAAATGATAAGAAGACAGTAGAAAAAACAAATAATACGAAGTTGTGGAGAGTCATGATCGACAACACAATCAGAGAGCATGGCATATGTAAAACGAAGTAAGAAAAGAAGCTCGGAAAATTGAACACTCACAAGAATCAACTTGAATACAAGAGAATCACGTGTGACAGTGGAATATTTTTTATGGGTCAATGCGAATGGGTGGCAGAACAAGGGTAAAGAGGGATGGTAAAAAGCCAAATGTTATTTCGGGCAAAAAAGGATAGGAAGTTGCGGAGAGCCATGACCGGCCACGTCCTTATTATAAATTATTCATGTTCCGGCTGTAGCTATGAACGTCTCAAAACCTTTCGGCAGGTTTTGGCATACAGGTCTTCTTCAAAAATACAAAAATTTACGATGTCTCCGACCAAATTTTTAGAACTCTTTCTTGTGAAATGAATGTTATCTTAAATGGCCACTCTTCCAGATCCTTTCGTAATAAAGCAGGTATCCCTCAATGCTCTATCTTTGGTTCTACTTTGTTTTTAATTATCCTTAAATGTCATTCTCGATAACTGTATGTTCTATGCTAACAGATTGGCGGCATCATCGTTTTACAGTTGAAATGGCTAGAAGTAACCGTAAGTTCTATGCTAACAGTTTCTTCTCTCACACTTCTTTCTTCAGGCTACTTGCTATCCAGCCAACTTACACCTTCAAAAATTTCAATAAAATTTCAATCGTTATTATCTTATATTATTTACACTATTCACATTGTTCGGGCAATTGCCCCACCTCCAATCTTTGTTGTCATATTCACGACATTTCGGCCTCTGTACACTGCGGCCTTTTTTTATACTTTGTAATTTCGAACCTTTAGGGTTGGGTAGATTTTTCTAGTTCTTCGTGCTATGCCTTTTCCGGATATGTCAGTTTTTAAGTTAACGCAACTCTCTAAGTTCCCTTTAGTAACGCAACTCTCTAGTTGTTGTTCACCTCTGCTTTGGCTAGGTATTGAACTCACAACTCTTTTGGGTCAAGTCTCTGGATTACTTCAACCAATGATTTTATCTCCTTAATAATAAGTTTTCTTTCTCATATTCACTAACATTCAGTAACCCCTTTGCGCATTAGTGGCTTTATTGCCTGGATTGAAGTTAAATGATTAAAAGCATATTCAATTATCTAAATAATCAAGATATAAAGGGTGCGATGGGTCAGTTGTCGCTATTTTATATTTTTAAATGCGCACATGCATTGTTTGTGTTTGATTTTGCTGATTGCATAGTATAGTTGGGTCAGTTGGTCATCGTCTGTGATAAAAAAAGTACTCAATTCACTCTGCCAGAAAATTGTAAACGGCATGTTGTACTGATTGGCATTCAGGCCGGAAACTCCAATACTAACATTTCAGAGTGTTTGGGTGTCAATCAGCGGACAGTGCATTGGATTCTGGAAGAGTTGGATGAGTCCAATGGTGATTACGAAGGTGTTTAGAGTGATTAGTAGTGATGGCGAATTTATTCCTCCATTCATCTTCCCACAGGGTCTCAGACTAAACATGGAGGACTATATCAAGTGCCTTGAGGAGGTAGTGCAGCTCTGGGCCAAAAGAGTGGCTTCTAGGAGACCCTATGTCTGGCAACAGGACTCTGAACCATAGCACACAAGCAGGAAACCACATTCATGTCTGTCATACAAGTTTTGTGACTATATCATCCCTTACATCTGGCCACCTAACTCCCCAGACTCCAACTCTCTTGATTATTATGTGCATTTGAGCGAGAGACACCAAAGATGATCCGAAGGCAAGGTTTATAGAAGCATTCAGCAACTTAAACAAGAAGACCGTCCAGAAGAGTTGCAGGAGATTCCGAAGTCCTCTGAAGTCCGTGGTTGAAGCCAAATGAGATTTTATTGAATAAATTTACTCTTTAGTATTTCAAGATGTTTTTGTGTAATTTTACAGGATTTACTGTTAAAATGAGATGTCAGTGATACTTTCATTGAGACGACAATTTATCCATCGCACCCTGTACGTTCAAAAGGTTTGTATTTTATTTTGTATCGTTTTTTTTTCAAATTTTAATGGCAATTTACGCCAATGTGTTTTTCTTGTTATATTATGTCTGTGTTTTATGCTTGCAGCTTGGAAATGCTCAGAGCTTGTCCGATGAGGCAGAAGACATAAACTCGGCCGATTATTGGCGATTTTTATTGCAACAAAAATAATCGAATCAAAGCAAAATGATGGTCGGATATAAATGTTTTCCTCGTGTCAATTTGTCGTCAAATTGATGCTAGAATAATGATTAAAAGAATAAATATTATATTATTGATATATGATTGGAAATCTGATTCTAATTTCCGTCATGTTGAAAATCTAATCTTTCTAAATGCCCTGAAAGTTGCTGTCGAAAAGCGTTTCTACGTCTGACTAGTTAATCGACCAAAAACCATATTTGAGGAAATGACTTATCCTCGGCGCAGAGTATAAGTTCTAATACTTATGAATATGTAATTTAATCAACCGTTTACTCACGTTTAAATCGTATGCTTTTGAACTATTCTAAGGAGAATATTTTCAACACATTTCTAAAAGTCATTTAATGTAACTGTCAATATTTGTATAACACTGAATTAGTAATTACTTCGTCTGTGATGTTTGTAACATCAAACCGTAGGTCTTTACGGGTATCAAATCTAATAATATTCTGTAAACGAAATCAAATTTCTAAGGAAACAACTCTTTCCTTCCACCAGACTCGCAGATATTTTATTCTGAGTTCGTTTACGCTAGGTGAAGTAGATTTACTTTATTCAACATCGAATGTTGGTTATTATTTCTATTTTCATATATGGAGGAAAGTGATCACCAATAAATATTTTCATGGTAATTCTTCTGATTAACTTTCCTCATTGGTAGCTAGAATGTATGAATTTAAGCGTACTACTAGATTGAAGGTAAAGTATATGCTAATAGCTTCCTTTTTCGCACTTCTCGCTTGTGGAATTCTATATCGGTTTCTTGCTTGCCAGTAAAATATGATCTTCAAAACAATTAAATTCGATGTCAATCATCCTCTTCTGTCTTCTTAATTCCTGTTCTTTTATTGTTCTATTTAATGGTGTTTTTTTCTTTTTCACATATTATAGTTTTACGGCCATATCACGTTGAACACCGGTTCTCATACGATCACCAAGGTTAAGCAATATCGGGCCTGATCAGTAACTAGATGGGTCACCGAATGGGAATAATAGATGCTGTAAGCTTGGATAGACAAGTGGTGTAATAGATAATTCATTAAAATTGTTAATCGAATTGCATAGTTCCAATTCAGTCACCCCACTCAGTAACCTCCTGAGTCTTAGTGGCTTTATAGCCTTGCTTGTGTTGAAATGATTAAAAAAAAACGGTGGACTAAAATAAGAAAAAAATATTAGACAGAGAAAGACATTGAAAAATTAGACGTATATAGACATCGGTGCATATGAAAGTCTATGATGGCCTTATCAGTAGGTTTAGCAGAGAAATAAGTGCCATATGGCAGTCATTATTAAAGAAATACATAGGTCAGTAAGAGTTGAGCACCACCAGTTAGAAAAGACAATTATTTTAATATATTTTCTTGTTATACGTATGAATGTTGGTACCATTACTGAAGATCTAAATCATCTTTTTCTTCTCACCATTGCTCAGTTGGGAAGATATAGTGACGCTGAAAAGAAAATGATTTAAACCTGTTCTTTTTCTAGCTGAAAAGATTTTTCAGTGATTCTTACGACAAATGGTGACAATATGGGTAGCCATCTTATCTGAAAGACTGGGAAAAAGAAATTCAATTAGTTTAATGTTTTCTTTTTAGATATTACACATTTTACTGTTGCATTCAGTATAGCAGACACAGCAGACCATATGTGGCAGCAAATTTCAAATTATACACGAATGGTAGACATGTAATTAAGTAAGATATATTCTGTGGTAAAAATTGTTTAGTACGACACGGGTTACTAACTTTCTTCGCTGAAAAAATCCTGGCGCGTTGATGTGACAAAAACTTCAAATGCTTCGATTACCTCTTCCTTATTTGAAAATGTTTTATTCTTTATGAAAAGCTCAAAATGCTTAAATAAGTGATAATCAGTTGGAGAGATATTAGGTGAATATGGAGGATGAGGCAAATTTTCATAATTCAGGCTATGCAGCTTTTGGACCAGCATTTCTCGACCTTTTTACCCTTGTGTAACCCTTAAAATAAATTAAATTACATGTCTCAAGGAACCCGTGCGCAAAAAGAACATTATATACCATATCTTTCCGTAGTTCACGTCGCAAATATCATCGTATATATTATTGAAGAACTGGTTTAAGGAAAAATTAATACTTCTTTGTTACATTTTTCGGTAATGCTAAAAAAAATTCATACTGTTCATTTCTAATACTTCATCAGGGAGTTTTCATTCACAATAAAAAAAAAAATTCTAAACTCAAACGTAAAAAATAATCATAAGTAACCAATATAATATAAATGTAAACAGAGCGAAAACAGATAATTGTTGCATCAGTTTTTTATTTTTTTATCCTTTACTAGCAATGTTGAAAAGACATAATGTAAATCAAGGCAAAATGTCCTGTGAACCAATAAATTGGCTAAGAATGTTTTTATATCATAATAGCTTAGATATGATGATGTCTATGTTACAATATTACAATAATGAAGAATATATTGTGTGTGTTTAGTAATATTACGTATATGAAATTAAATAAAAAGTCTAAACTTCATTTGCTTATCTCACCTGTTCTTGCGGAACCCTTGGGGCCCTTTTGTGGAACATTAGGGTTCCGGGGAATCCCGCTTGAGAAAAGCTTTTTGAACAGTTGATTGAGAAGCGTACAGCCGGGAGTTGTTGTGCAATAAAATTGGGTCATCCCTATTCTCAAGTTTAGGATGTTTCATTTTCATTTTTTTCGTGCATACACTAAATTCATCCACAATACGTGATTGCTGTCATTGTTTACCTTTGAGGCAAGAAAGAATAATGAATAACCCCTTTGAAAGATCACCACACAGTAATCATTAACCTTTTAGGGTGCAGTGGAAGTTTTGGGTATTGTTTTGGTGATTCACTTACATCTAACCATTGATCTATTCTTTTACTGTTCTCAAAGATTATCCGCTCCTCATTGCATAAAATGATTTTATGCAAACTTGGTTCTTATTCCCATCTGGTAATCATTTTCATTGACCTTATGAGTAACCACTTGGGAATACGTAAGGTTGAATGTGCAGGTGGAGTAATAGATAGTGGCTTGGAATTGTTAATTAGAGAGCCATATTTGACTCTTTGCTGTGTTCGTTACATCCATTTAGATTCAAATACCTTGTTTTGTACTGGCAGGAAGATTCTATTGGCCAGTGTGAGAGTCAACAGCTGACTGACACGAATTTCAACTAGCATGCTAGCATGCAAAAACAATCGATAGCTGCATTCGTTACAAGTGGGAAAAATTTAAATCTGCATGGCACTTTACTCCAATTGGCTCATTCGCTTGCTTAAACTCAACGTTGATTCTGATTCCGCAGAACTGGGTTGAGTGTGAAAAAGTATTTGTTGTTAACATTCTTTTTTCATTCGGTTTTTCCAGTTACGAGTCCTTTTTTAAAGCTGATCGTTTTGTGTTCATTTTGTTTAGTTCTTTTTTCTTAACAGATTTAATGTTTAGTATAGAGTTTAGAAAAAAATTGCAGTGTGAATCAAGAACTGTTGGATACTGGCGTTTGTTTACATCCGTAAGCAATACGTTAAAATTTCCCTTTCTCTGTGCCGTGCGCCGACAGCATAGGGTTAGGATCGCCGACTGATGCCAAATCTGTAGGGTTGAAGCAACCGGATGTTTATCCACACTGATAAGCTGTGATACAGCGAAACATGGATGACCATATTAATATATATATATACATACATATATATATATATATATATATATATATATATATATATAATCTAAAATGGAGTATGTGAAAGTAACGAATGACTGTTTGCGACGTAGAACAAAAATAGGAAAGTGTTTTATGCGCGTCCTTTTCTTATCATGAAATCTGTGATGATTGGATGACTAAGAACCAGTGACTTATAAAAAGGACGCTTCATAAAAAAAAAATACATATACAAACAGAAATTTTCATTTTTTTTTTTAACTAAGCAAATTTTTTCTATTTTTGTCCTTCGGATGAAATGCTTCTTTTTTATTTTATTCATTTATTTTTTTTTTTGTATGTCTGTGTGTCATTTTGTCTAATATTATTAGTTGAAATTGTGGGGAGAAAAAAAAAAAAAAAAAAAACATTGTCATGGTCGGAATGATAAAGATTTGGCCGGACATTTTTTTCCTACACCGACGATTTGAACACAGATATAACACACACACACACACATACACGCATAATGAAATACATGGTTCAAAATTTGCTGATTATTATGAAAGAATGCTCAGTATCGCAGCTAGAGTGTTTATACATTTAGTATGTGTGCATATAACAATCCACAAGCTATTCTGACAGGATGTCATGTAGGACATTAATCAATGAAATCGTCCGTTTATGCAAGTCGAGTTAAGCGGAGTGTAGGAAAGTTAACATCACATCCATTGCTAAGTATGCTTTTGGGTAGTAAACGTTCTATTTCATTACTTATCTATAAGTTTGTCTTCCTTGATAGATAGATAGATAGATAGATAGATAGATAGATAGATAGATAGATAGATAGATAGATAGATAGATAGATAGATAGATAAGGAAGAGACTGACATATATAGGTAGATGTCATATGTTCGTTTATATCAGCGGAGTGGCATTAGGTCCATTGCTAAATGTGCCTTATATTTCATTACTTATCTAAGAGTTTGTCTTCTTTATTTCCCTCTCGAAAATACGAGATATAATAGTTGGTGATGTGGGTTCAAATACAACAGATAGATAGATATATAGATACATAGATAGATAAATAAAAATGAAGATAGATAGTGTCAGATATGACATCAATGTATGAAATCGTCCGTTTATGTAAATAAGTGGAATTGAGGAGAGTCAGCATTAAGGTCTTAGCCGCATGCTAATTTCTTAGTACTTGTCGAACTCTCTGCCTTCGGGAAGAGAGGAACCCAGACGAGGCTATGCCGAAGGGTAGTCTCTCGTCTTTTGTAGACAATCCCGACCTCGTTTATACGGGGTCGACTGGGATTTTTACCCGAGACTACAGGCTCAGAAGGCCTCACGTTAAAAAACCGGCCTTGTGCCACATCCCACCTTATGGTGAGATCTCGGGTGAATACCGTGTCAGCATTAGGTCTTAGCCGCACTTTAAGCTCTTAGTGCTGGTCGAACTCTCTGCCTTTGTGAAGAGAGGAACTCAGACGAAGCTATGCCGAAAGGCAAAGTCTCGTCTGGGGAGTTAGAAAAACCCGACACCGTTATTACGGAGTCTTCAGGGAAATTTTGCCTGGACCTACCGTCTCGGAAAAAAGAAAAAACACGTTAAACCTGTCTGCAACATCCCACTCTGTGGGGAGCTCGGGTAAATACCGAGTTCGCATTAGGTCAATGGCTAAGTGTATCTTTTTGTAGTAAACTTTCTATTTTATTACGTACGAATTTATCTTCCTTATGTATTTCTCTCTGTTTTCTCGAAAACACGAGATACAGCACAGGATCACGCCCAAGTGATCATCAGACTGTGTCCCTTCTTTTACGGCCTATATATATATATATATATATAACAGTTTTTGTATATAGATCTCTAGGGGTTTTTAATGATGTATCGGGGGGAGGAAACCTACTCTTCCTAGTTTATTATTTATTATTTTATTCCATTGTAAGTATTTATTCTTTTTGGTATGGAATTGATTGTAGGTAGCGAGGTAGGAATTCTTTTACATGTTTGAATTTTTATATATAGCTCTGAACATTTTTTACATTTTAATCTGTTTCTCTCGCTCTCTCTCTCTCTCTCACATACACACGACCGTACTTTGACCCCTTTAACTTTTTCCCCTTCCCCCAAAATTTGTTTTCGGTTGGTCAATGTATGGCTATTTTAGAGTGTAATGAAAGACTAACAGAAGTCACAGAAATTTATATATAGATAATCATTTATAGTATCTATTTGTTTAGGTTTAATGGTTACACATTGATTGCATAAAAAAAGTATTACCTTCTGAGCTTATTTTATTACAAATAGTTTATATACAGGGTGTTCCATAACGATGGACAC